GGGGGGGGGGGGGGGGGGGGGGGAGAGGAAGGCTGGCGCTTGGGCTGGGCCTGCCCGCCTCGCTCATGTGACTTAGCCGGGCTCCTTCAACGCGGTTAGGAGGAGGGTGGTGGCGGCGGCGGCGGCGGCGGCGAGGCTGAAGGAAAGGCTCGGATTATGGCCACGGCGGTGGGTCTCGTTGCCGCCTCTGTTGGGCACGGCAAGACCCGGACCTGCCGGCGCTGAGAAGGGAAAGGAGGCGAAGTCGCCGAAGTCGGGCACACTCCGTTTCCCATCATGGCTGAGCCGCCGGGCGGTAACGGCGCCGTTTCTCCTCCGGTCGGTTTGCCCCGAGAGGTCCGTGAGCAGCTTGCGGAGCTGGAGCTGGAGCTTTCGGAAGGTGAGCCACCCCTCCGTCCCCCCTTTCTCTCTTCTCTAGGGCGGAAACCAGATTATTGGCAGCTTTCCATTTCTCCCGACGGTGGAGAACAGGGAACGTATTTCTCCCCTGGGCTTCCCGGTTCAATTGATTGATTTTCTTGGCTGGGGGTGGGGGTGGGAAGAGGGATAAATGGGGGAAATAAGAAGAAAAGGCCCCTGCCTCCCCCCCCCCCCCAACGTGCGCTCTCTATTCCCTGGTGGTGGCGTTTTCCTTTTTTCCTTTAGGGTTAGCATGGATCTTCCTATTGAGTGTCTGCATGAAAGCTGGATAAAACAGATTAGGTCATTTTGTTTTTTGTTTTTTTAAATTATTTTAAGGTTGACTAAAATAAATATAGCCGCCTGTGCATACGTACACTTCTGCACACACCCACATAAATGTTTCAGTTTATTTTTTCCTTCTCTTCCACAAAGACGCAATTTCCTCTCTCTCTTTTTTCTTTCTGTGGCTGCATAGATGAGATTTCCTTTCTTTTTTTTACATTTCCCTCTTCCCTCAGCCTGTGACTTAATTGTGACTTTCGACCTGCATTATTGTAACATAACTCCCAGAATCTGGAGTCATGGGTAGGATGTTATTAAACAAATACTTTGCTTTTGCTGTAAATGGGTTTTTGGAGAGCAGTTTTGGTGAAATTTAGATTCATACACATCCTTACGAATTTTTATGTAGGCTGCATTGGAGGCCATGTGAAATCACAGTTTACTTCTATCTCCACTGACTGTCATGGAGATGATGTTTTTTGATGCTACTGTGGCACAATAAGGTGGATTCAAGGTGCATATGCTGGTTTTTGCATGAAAACTTCTGTTAAAATAGAGGTCATAGTTATCTGTTCAGTATAACGTTCACTACAATAACATAGCTGGCATATATAAAAAGGCCAAAAAACATAGATCTGAATCAGATTCCTGTGACTCCCCCAGGTTTTGCTTGGAATCCTTCTGAAACAATTATCAGAACACTAGTCTCATTCTGGGCAGACAAATGTGCCCTTGCAATCATGTATCTATCCATTTTTGTCACTGCGTGTGGTAAAAATAGATCCAATGCAGTGATCGTCATACAGCATCACCATTTTATATAGAACACACCTGAAATCACCAACAAATCATAGATTATTTTTTTCCTGCACAGACAGAATCATTATAATCACCAGTCTTCTAATTTTGGGTGTTTAGTATCTCTCTGTAAAGAAATGGCTTCAGTCCAGTTTTGAGGTTTAGTTTTAGAAGTACAGTAATAATAAAACATGTTTTTCCCCCATCATTTGATCAGGTGTCCCTCAAGATTTAGGTTTGTTTTTTTCTTATTTCTTAATAGTTTATAATTGCCAGAAGTACTACTTGACTAATTAAGCTTTTTTCTCAATCCATCCTTTAAAGAAGACTCTTGACCCATCTCTTCTACATCATAATTTAGAGAAATGCTTAGGCAGAATATGATAGTTGAGGATGTAACAGTCACTGAGAGAACCAGGTCACATTCTTTCCATTCTTCCCCTTCATTCCACTTGTATACATTTGACCACATCAGTGATGGATACAATCTGCAGGTTCCCATTGATTCAACATAAAACCCATAAGAACCCACCTTTTTGCATAATAGGTGCAAATATCATTTTGTGCAGAAGGATGATTTGTAAGTGGTACTCAGTAGGTTTCATGTAAAAAATATAAGGATCCATTTCAACACTTCCTGGATCCAGGTTTTAATTTCTTCTATTTGGGTAGTCAGATGGACCTTTAAAAAAAATTCTTGGTTTGTGAGAAGCTCTGCTGTTGAATGAGAACTACAAATATGCTTTATGAAGAACTTCTAGCATGATTGGCCTTTTGTCTGCCTGGATAATTGCTGCCGTTTCTGTTTTATTCCCCCTGTATATATTAATTCAGAAAATGTTATATGTATCTTACCACTTGGTGCAGTGATATCACAACTTGTTTTAGAATATATAGGGAATTCCCTTACTACATCAGCAATATTGCCTGTCAGCAGTGGTGGGTTGCAGGTTGTACGCCCTGGTACGTGCGTACCGGAGCCAGCCCGGAGCACCGGATACCAGTATACTTAAAGGCTTTTGCGCTTCTGTGCAGGCGCATGGTGCATACAGCGCCTGTGCGATGGTCCGTTGAGCAGCTGGAGCATTGCAGAGCGTCACGGAGGTGCTTGAATGCATGCACGCACTGTGCGTGCGTTGCGCACGTCCATGAGGATGCTGACGGCCTCACTGGAACGGGATTTGCAACCCACCACTGCCTGTCCGTGAACATCATAATGGGTGGATGTGAATTGAGTAGATAAGAGAAAAATGTGAATAATGTAACCAGTTTTACCATTTTAAAGATAGTAAAGTCCAAAAACTATTTTTGAAGTGATTAATTGTATTGCTGAAATATACGAAGTTTAAAGATGAACCAGAAAGCCTTTCATACACATTCAGAAGTATGAGAGTGACATAATGCACCATTTGTTCTTGATATGATATCCCAGACCTGGGCATTTTACAGAATGCGGGTCACATTTACACTTTTGACTGTCCTTTTCCAACGGGCAATGTTGGTACTGTCAGCAGAGGGTAGGGCATCAGCACCAGGGGGCAATGGTGTTGGAGGTAGTGGTGTGGTGCAAGGGGACAGGGCAGTGGCCCTCCCCAGCAGTCCCAGTTTTTCATATGGCTCATTGGGAAATTAATTGCTTATTCCTGCCATATAATGGTTCAAATGTATACATGCTTAAATGCACATATAAGCAAGTGACTTCAAAACTACAGTCTGAAGTTAGGACAGTTGGTGAGGCTAAACAGGATTTTATTTTTGTGGGAAATAACTAAGAATTCTATTTTCTTCTGGCAATGAAAAGCATTAAAAATTTGAACTAAGTATTTAATTTTAAATGTATGTTAGTTGCGGTCAAGGGTGTCAAAATAGAACTCACTTGACTAAAGCTTATCTATAACTACTAGAAATGATTTATCTTCCTTATACTGCTGATTGGCAGGGCAGCAGCATCTCTTTGAAAGGAAAATGAGTTTAAAAAGGGGTCTATATGGCTGAGGACTTTAAAAAACAATGAAGACTTTTTTGAGCTTTCTATGTGGTCTGCAGCCTGTTTCAATGCATATGTAAGTACTTTGCAAAGTTCCTGTTTATGCTAAAAACAAAAGCTGAAATTGTATTTGAGACATAAATGGCACATTTCCTCTTTTTCTCCCTCACCCCCCTTTTAGTTGTTTTCTTAACTCTCCAGGTTGTTTTCTGCTCACTGGCTGTTGAACTATTGTCTTCTGTCCTCATAAAATGATAACCATAAGTGAATTTTGTGAAACAAAAGAAGCTGTTGGAAGTTAAACAAGAATTAATAAAACATATAGAATTCATTGTTAGTATGCCTGAATTTCCTTTTGGGACACATGTATGAATCATTTTTCAAAACTCAAATAGTAGTCTCATTTCTGTAAAGCTGTAATTTTCTGAGGAGAATACAAAGTTAATTATTTCAGAAGGGGACATTTTGTCAATTATTTTACCCTGATAATATATTTGTCATGACAGGCTGGATTTTAAGCAGTTACTTAATTAGTTCAAGGGATTGAACTAATGGCTTTTTTTTGTTTGGTGGAGAGAATACCTCCTCCCATATCTATCATAATTCTTTTATAATAGCTCTTTTTGTTCTTTTTTCTCATCTAGTTTGTGTTAACATTAGATCTGCTGTTCATTTTCTCTTCTTCTGTTCAATCATGTCTGATTCTCAGACTGCTTGGACAAGTCCCTGCAGTTTTCTTGGCAAGGTTTTTAAAAGTGGTTTGTCATTGCCTCCTTCCTAGGGCTGAGAGAAAGGGACTAGCCCAAAGTCATCCAGCTGGCTTTGTATGTAAGGCAGGACTAGAACTCATGGTCTCCCAGTTTCTAGCTTGATGCCTTAACCACTACTCCAAACTGACTCTCATTCAAATATTACAAATCAAACATATAGTTGGCCAAGTGGAATTAATTTTTGGATCTTGACTGAAGAAACTTAAAGAGATGCTTTAAGAGTCCTATATTATATTATATTATTTTACAGTATAAAATGTGTACTGTACAAAGTTAATAATTGACCAAAGGTTACATGTCTTGCTTGTATAATGCATTATAATTTAGTAATACTGGGCTATAGAAAAATCATTAAAACTAAAGGCCTGTTGATATTCAAATAATATTAATGTGCAAGTAAGGATACAGAGAAAACAGGTAATTCAGTACAAATCATTAAGAGATGTTGCTGTATTTCTGTACAGTGGTCTTTAAGGGGAATAGCAATCTATACATTATTGCTGCTGCTGCTTTTGCTGCCGCTGAAAAAGGAACCGTTCAAGTCTGGTCCATGAGTTTCTTTTGCACAATATTTGGGGAGGAAGCAATGATGTTATATTGTTAAATAGGAACATTATCTTTGTAAACGTTCATGAAAATCTGTATGTACAACTTTAGAGAAGGAAAGTTGCTTATTTAATAGCAAATTTATACAATTTTCTTGAGTAAGCAATCTGTGTACTAAGATTTTTCTTGCCCTTGCCCTTCATATTTCTGCTCATCCTATTGTTTTTAAATTTATTTTACCATTTTTATATGTTTTCTCAATCATCAGCTTTCAGGGCTTTTTTTGTTTTGTTATATTTTTGGTCTTGTTTTGTTGATGTTTTCTCGTTATAGTCTTCTTGTTTTGATATGTAGCTCTGCAATGTATAAATATAAATTTCCAGTGTCAGATTTGATTGACCCAGTTTCATTTATGGAAATCTCACACAAGCAATTAATTGAAATCATATTACGTTTGGAGAATCATGAAAAATACTCCTTTTTGTATCATTTTCAACAAATCCTACATTGTGAATATACCAGCACATTTGGCTGATTTAAAACAAAAACAGTTTTTATAATGATATAACTTACCTTACACAATTTAATCTTTGA